TAGGATATACTCCTAAAATATTGAATATGCATAGGGATGGCAATTTCCTCCGCAACCCGCAGAGCTTCACGGATATTCTTGTTACGGGATGGAGATTCCAAGAATATTCTATCATGTTGGGCGAGGACAGAGGCATTTTTTTTCCAATGAAGTTTCGTGGGGAATTTTCTCCGCTTCATGGGGAACCGCGGGGATCCATATAAAATAAAAGAAAATATGAATTTATTTTTATATATTTTTTAAATATGTTAACAATTAATTTTTACTTACTCAACCAAATTAACTTTCCGATCCATTCTTTTTTTCAATTTTTCCAAACCCAATTATACAATCCAGTCCAGCCCATAGTCTTCTTAAACTTAATTGCCCAAGCACAACCCAATTTGCATTAGTAAGTAGTAACCCTAAAACTAGAAGGACTACTAACCATATATAGATTTCAGATTTGCGAATCTACTATTCCTCCTCCTTTTCAGACTCTAGTCTCCTCTCCTTTGCATAGACTACGCTGTAGCTTACTGGCCCTGTTTCTGTTCTTCAATCGATCAATTTCTTTCAACCTATTATTCTTTGTAACCTTCGAAAGGTAATGCCTATAGCTCTATTTCTATTCTTCAATTGGGTACTTGCAGCTTGCCTGAGCCGAACTTGCCTCCAGCCTCCACTCATGACTACACGACAATAGGCCTCCTTTATAGCTTTGCCTCTGATTTGGCCTCCTTTATAGCTTTGCCTCTGATTCGGCCTCCTCTGCAGCTCTACCTTTGATTCTCTTCAAGCTTCCCAACTTAGGTTAGCAAGTCCTCCTCACCTCACACTCACAGCACACCTATTTTTCTTCTCTGTGCTTTATGATATAGAGTATTTGAGTATTTGTGCTTTATGATTTATCTGTGCTTTATAATTTAGAGTATCTGTGCTTTATGATTTAGAGCACTTCAATAACTTTGAAATTGGAGTTTTTCCATTAAACAATTTGTTTCTAATTAATAATTTCTAATTTGATTCATTCTTAGGTATCAATTAGCAAATGTCTTCACAAGAGCCTACTTCCCACCAACTCAAATTCCAAACGAATCAAATGCAAGTACTATACCAAGAACTACTGCTACACCAACTTCATCCTCGGCTATGGTTAAAGAAAGATTTAAAAGGTATTAAGTTAAGGCTATATTTTTTTTTTCTTATTTTTTAATTTGTATTCTAAACTTTTATTATGTTTGAAATTTAGGTTCTAACAATGATGGGAATTTCTTCAATATATTTGAGGAGTTGGAGGAGAATGATGATGGGGATGATGAGTGTAACACACCTCCCTAGGCACCCTTAGTCCTAGAAGAGTTCGAAAATAAAATTTATAATAAAGAATTGCAGCGAAAATAAAAATACTTTTGAAAAAGAAGATCATAAATACTTGTAAAGGAAAACCACTTTAACAAGTCAATATATATATATATTGAAAAAGTGCCAAAATATTCAAAGTTATAAAATAAGCCAAGCTAAGTTCATTTATAATTAATTTAAAAGTTTTATACATAAAGCTAATTTACACAAAAATTATGAGGCAAATTTCTTCTCCAAAGCTTTCCAAAAAAACAAAAGCTGAGTCATGGTTTTGGTAAGACATCGATCTGCCTCCCTATCGAAAACACGAGGCCTTAGCTTGTACATACAACGAGCATGCGAGTCCCATGCCAAAAGCTCCTAAACCGAGATGCTGCTACCTCAATCTACTGATCTGAAATGGGGGGATATTTTATGAGCTCACAGCCTAGTAAGTAATAAGCTTAAGCTATAAACTTGGGTTCTAAGACCCTTAGACCTATCCACACAAAGAGCACAAGACACAACGGAATCAAATCAAATAATATTATAATTCTCAAATCATAAGCACAAATGTCTAAATTGAATTCATATACTAAAATCATATGCTCACAAATATTATGCTCACAAATATTATGCTCACAAATATGATGTCACAAGCGCAATGCATAAATCGAAAATCACGCAATGCTATGGAGTCCACTGAGGTGTGCTAGCAACACTGTACCGGATCTAATCACGGTACTAACCCTACTGCGCAGAGGTCCACTGAATACCCCGAAGGGTCCACTGAATACCCCAAGCTTTAAGCTTAGGTCCACTTACTCCATAGCCACAAACACATACGCATGTCAAACAAATTCATAATATGTCCAAAATA